CTTTACGACTACCTGACACCTATGTAAGATAAAAACTCAGAATCAACAAGATGAACCTATGCAATTCTTCTGGGTATGGTTTGAAGGCCTTGTCCTGTAATGGACAGGACTGTAAACACTAAAACACTAAGCTTGGCTTTAATATTGTAAAAATAGTTGCCTTCTCCATAAAGCTTCTGTTTTATTTCTGCCTTTTCTAAACTGGACTGCAAATGCCTCTTGCACATGCTTATAACTCGCTGGATGGAGTAGGTTACAAAAAGCAGATGAAATAAAAATAATGCATTCAGTATTATCCCATATAGCGTGCATTCTGCTTACGTGTTATTCACCAGAGACTAAGAATTTGGTTCAGCATAATAAATAGGAAGAATATAAATTCTTTTCTCAGTACCACGAGCAGGTACAGCAGGAGATATTTGCTCTATGGTGTAAACTCCCTTGAGAAACTTTGCTTAAGAAGATTGTGGGGAGAGGATCAAGGTCTGGTATAATGCTGATCATATTAAAAAAAAAAAAAAAAGAGAGAGAAGAAAATCAAGGCAGAAATTTTAACAGGAGGAGGAACATAGGGTGCGAATGAATCCTTGAAAATGAGGATTAATTTCCTAATTTGTGAGTAAGAGGAACAGCAGGTTTTATTAGCGACTTATAAAGAACACTGAAACCTGGAAGTGACAATTAACAACCCACAGCTTGTTAAGTCCAGGATAGAAGGTTCTAATTCATATGCCATCTGGAAGAGAAAATTTTATTGAAAGCAGCTCTCACAATGAGCTCATCACTTGATGCTGAATACTTTTCTCCTGGAATGTCTCCCCAAGTCCTGCAGTCAGAATAGGTGCAGTAACGGCTGCTAATATCCTTAGAATGTGAAATGATCAAAACTTCTGTGCAGGAAGGAGGGAGGTTTCCTTTCTTTGTCTTAGCACTATCAAGATTATTCTGAATTCAAGCACTTTAGTTGGCTCACCCAAACTTCTCGAGCTGTGTCAGTAAAAGAACCATATTCAACCAACAGGGGTAGGAAAGATGGACAGTGCATGAAGAGTTATTGGATATCTGTATTATGGAAGCTTAAATCTACCAGAGAGAGATTGATATAGCAAGCCTGGAAAATAAAGAGAACCTAGTGCAAACAAAATTTGGATATAAAATTACAAATATTCTTCTGAAGAATTGTGTATTTGTGAACAGATCTTGTTTTGCAATGCTCCGAGCACCCTGGAGGCTTAGGAAGCCAGAGGATGCCATGCTAGTACATAACAATAAATGCATGCAAGAGGTGATCAGCACAAATAGTATCAATTTAAGCATGTGTTATTGGATAGGGTGTCGTAGACAGAGTTGCAGCCTGAGTTGCAGTGTACTTGGACAAAGCAGCTTTCCTCTTTGCGTCTGAAACTGAAGATGGGGTTAGACTGTGCCATGCACTGGGGATGCCTGTGCTTGCCAGAGCCTTCCTTGCAAATTTTCTTCTGAAGACTTGTCTAGAAATTGAAAATGGAAGGAAAATATAAAATTATTATTAGAAAATATGTAATTTCATGTAAGATATATCAAATAAAACTTCAGAGAATATCTGAGCTAATCTGACACCTAAGAGAAGATTCAGAGAAGCTGGTTTATTTTGGCTAGCAAAATATTAGACAAGTAGAATGTTTTATGCCTGTTAGTACCTAAAGGAAGGTAAACACTGGGATTCTTTAAGCTAAGGGATAAAATTAATGGTAACTTAAAGTCATTTTAGAGTGCAAATGAAAAGGAGCTTTTAGTTTTTCAAGCAGTAAAGGTCTAGAGCAGCCTTTTTTTTTTTTTTTTCAATTTATGAATCACAAAAGGGCAAGCTACTCCTAAACTGGAGTTTGGTCTCTTTATGAAAGAGGTTAGATGCTATCATGCCAGTCATTAGTAAAGATTAGGTAAATGATTCAAGAATTCCCCCCCTTTTTTTCCCTCCATAGCAAAAAAAAAAAAAAAAAAAAAAAAAAAAAAGAGAGAATGAGAAAGTAGAAAGCACTGTATTCTGTTCCAGTCTTTACATCATCAAAAGTAGCAATTCATAGTGATTACCACTGCATACTTGCCTTAAATCAAAGGCTGGGTATAGGAATCAGTTCTTAAAGTCTCCCTAGGACCCTATATGATACCTCAACAGTGGATATTATACAAATTGAACTCAGGTTCTAAATTTAGTTTCCAGAACCTCTCAGCCTCAAGAATTGTTTGAAGTGAATCAGTTTTATTCAGTATTTAACACCATACAGAGAAAATGTATATACAGGGGACAGCAGTAATGAAACTTTCAAGAGTGATAAACAAGGAAAACTGAAATCATATCTGATAGGTTCTGCTCACTAGACACAGCACACCAGGTAGAGACATTGTGCTTTGTCACACAGAGGAGAAGCAAATGATGTAGGTGTTAATTTTTAAGAATTAATTTCTGTAGCGTAAAAGACACTTGTCTTATAGCCATGTCTGGCTTTGTGTTCCTTCAGTTTTCTTTGCCCTTTGATGATATTTGCTGAATTAAATGACTGCAACCACCTAGAAGTGCCATTAACTGGCACGTCAAGAGCAATGCACGGCCAGATCCTAAAGCATGGGCAGCAGCTGCAGTCAGCCAGGCAACCACACCTGTACGTCAGTGTKCACTGGAGATGCTCCTGGCTTATGTTCCAATGGAGATGCCTTTGACAGCGTAACTCATCAGGTTTTCTGCTGTAACTGATCAATCGTCGTCTGCGTAGCGCGTTTGCACACGTGCTCTCAGCTGAATTCCATAGTGTTAGTCATCTTGTTGATTCAGCTCGTCGTTCGGAAGTCCTGGCTGCAGCCTGTATCAGTAGCTTTCTTGCAAATTACTTTCTTATGATTATTGCTGGGAGAGCATTGTACTAAAAYGATTAAATAGATATCTTAGATACAAATATATATATAAACACACTCTTAAAGACCTAAAGGAATATCTTTATTTTTCAGAAATGCTGCACTTGAAGTTGTTTCTGCTATGAAATATGATATCTGGGGCTTAATTAGCAGTGCATTTGATCCTACATAATGAGATTAAAACAGTATAATGTCTTTCTTTTGGACGGGAAATGTATAAAAGAAACTTTAATTGTATCCGTTTAAACCCATTTCAAAAGAAATGCTCTTAGACCTGATCCATCCTGTTGGCATTTTTAGAATCCAAAGCCATTAATGCAGCTCTATTGAATTCATAGCCTCAGTGTTTTTAATAGAAACTGCAAAGTGAAGAAAATTAGCATACGGTATTTTAAAGAATAATACTATTTTTTTCTGATATTTTGTTCTGTTTTGTTTTGTATTATATTTTGYTGTGTTTAATATGGCACAGGTGACTCAAAGACTATTGCAGAAGTTGTGATCTTAAGTGGTAAAGTGAGAACTTCTCTTAAGCTAAACATGGCTGACTTTAAAAATGATACCCAGTGTCATCTTCTGCACTTCCGTAAAAATGAGCATGTCTTTTCTTGGCATACATTTGTTATCTGCTGAACTTTGTGTTTAAGAAAGTTTCAGAATAGCACAGCACTGGTTTGGGCTCAACACATTTTCTTGCAGCACTTTTGGAAGTCATAAGCTGCAAATGGACTTTGTGAAAATGAAAAGCCTGTATCAAACAGTTTGCTAACTGATTTCCCCCTCTTACCTCCCATCTACATAGTGAAGTTTCTCTGTGGGAAAAACCCTGAAATGCTCTTTTTTTTCCCCCTTTTTCTCCCTGAATTGTGTGAGCAGATGCTGGCTGCTTCCAGACTGTGCAGTTGGGCTGTTGCTGTGAGGAATTGTCCAGGGTTGCCAAGTTATGACATGTCCAATGTGCAAGCGGAGTGTGAGTATAAAAGCTTTATTGCTTTGAACAAGACATCTCAGCTCAAAATTCACTTGCTTACATTTACATGGATATTAATGATCTGTGAGGTAAATGAGGATATAAAAAAAATCAGCTAGACTAAAACAGATCAAATGGTATTTCTTCTTAGCTTTATCCTTTAAATGCTTTATAGTTAGGATCACTGGGCTTCCCTCCTTTCCCCTGTCTGTGTGTTTACTGGTTGCATAGTCACCCTTTAAATACAAGGTAAAATCCACAAATCATCTGGCTGCTATTTTTGCTCTCTCTGCTTTAATAAATAAAGGAATAAAGTTTCTCAAAAGGATGTGTGGAGATTTTTTTTTCCTTCTTTTATTTAAAATAGTATCTGTGAACAATGCAAAAATCTCCAAAGTCTTTTAGTTATCTCAAGAGGAGCTTGAACCCTGCTTAGATCTCTCTCAAGTTTTAAAATACTTAGTTGGAGGATTCTTCAAGTTCTAGGTTATGTTTGAACTTTTGTCTGTTATTCATTTTTTTTTTAATTGTTTTTGGTAAAGGTAAGCATAGCAATTAATCTGATAATTTGATTAAGAAAATCAGTGTCATGAAAAAAATCTAAGGTTATCTCTTTCAATTTTCTTACTGTTATTTTACCACTTCTTGCTTTCAGTGGTTATTTTATTAGTAGAGACAAAAATGGAAAGGCAAACAAATATGAAGAATTCCATGTTTCAGAAGGAAAACTGATCCATTAGAAGTGCAGTAAAATTGAAAAAAATGGCATTTCAGTGTATTAGACTTTACCATTTTTCACAATACCCAATTGCTAACATTTAACATCAGTAAACACTTACAAGAAGAGGCAGTAATGCCACAGAAGTAACATGTTAAAAGCAGCAGCATGTTTCATTCTCCTGCTGCTGAATGATAGCCTAGTTTTATAAGACATTCAACTGCACCCCCCCCCACACACACACACCACCACCGCCTCTCCCCCTCCCCCACTAGCCAACACCTGCAAACAATTCACTGTCAAATAACCCAGGGTGGTGCAGGAGCAGCTGAGGCTTTCAGAAGGATCAAGCCCCTATTTATTGCACCCCCTTCCTCTCCCCCAAGTCACCTATGGGGCTGGTGGGCTTAGGATATCTCAATATGCTTCAGACAGGGTTTTAGTGCCTAGTCCACATAGTCTGAGGCTGTGCATATAATATGGTAAGTCCCTGTAAGGGGGATATGCAGTGTTTGTTTGGCGTTTTGTTTGGTTATGCTCAGCTGGTGGTACTCCAGTCTGTAAAAGCTGGCAGCTACTTAAATGTTCTGTATGTGAAACAGGTTGGAAAATGTATTTTGAATGTAACTGCCCCATTGCACCTATTTATATAAGTGCATGATGACTTTGTGGCACAGGATTTGAGTCATGGGTGTGATGTGTTGTTGCATGCAATATGGCTAGCACAGTAATATTTTTCTGTGCTTAAGTAGTTCATCTATTCAGTATTTAAGAAGTCCAGTTAACAGGGCATCCTGAATTCTTCAATTTTATTATTGGTAATTTAAACTTATGATTCAGTTTCAGTTGAGACATGCATTTTAAATGCATATCTTGTGGAGATGATTTATTCAAGAGCATTTGTGGTTGTTTATTATATGAAATGTTTCCATCCGCGTTAGAAAAGCTCATTTTAAAAATTAAGGCAAATTGTTGCATTTCAATACTACTCTTCTTCTGGACTCTTACTTGGTTTGTCTTATTGTCATAACTGACAGCCCCCACCAAGCTTCCTTCTTTCTCAAGATCCTTGCAAGAGGCTGTGAATATATATTCTAAGAATAGGGAGGCAGGATTTATTGCTGTTAAAGAAGCTGTGTTTAGGCATGCTTTCTGGTTAGTTTTGTAGCAGTAAAATAACTTGTAAGCTTCAAAATTGTTCCTGCACTTTTTCTGGGACCCTCCTCCTGAAATTAAGACAGGGGAACTAATAAAGGATGGAGAAATAGAAATAGCAGATAATAAATAATATAGTTACATGGCTTTCTGCAACTTGTTACTATGTTTAGAGTCAGTGCTGAGTAAGCAGAAAAAATACTTAATGGGAAGCAGTAGCAGTAGGTTCTTGGGAAAATGAAGCCCTCTATGTTCTGATCATACATGTCTAGCTATCTTCTGTATTCACATTCCCATATTAAGAGATTGTGTCTTGCAGAGGGCTGTATGTGAGCAGAGCCTTGTATCTGTTACATTGAGGTGAGTGCTTGGTTTGAGTGAGACCAATTTCAGGTTCCTAATAAAACTTGATTCTTAAAGTTGTTTATATCTCTATTGTGAAAGACTTTTGTTAGAGTAATACTTCTTATTTTTAGTTCAAGGTATTTTCAGATGTGACTATCAGTGTTGCTTGTAGAGGGAAAACCATATTATCCCAGCTCTTTGCAACTGTTTCTTTCTCTTTTACCTTAGAAATGGTTCTGGATGAAACTCTTCCTGCCTGCTGCAGTTTATCTAAGCCTCAGGTGCAGAAGTGTATGTCACACTGGACTTCTGTGTAACAGAGATTGCAGTGCTTCAGAGACAGTCTTAAGTTGTGCAGAGTGGCACCAGGGGTGCTATGTCTTTCTTACTGGAATGTCAGTATGTGTTCTCAGCTTAAGAAGACTTTGGTCAGCACTCATATGCTTATCACTTAGTCTCTAACTTTGTCCCCAGCTTTTTTTCTGGTCCATCCATCTTGGCTTCAGTAGAGATGAGGTTAACAGCGATTTGTTGGTGTTGGCACTCAACAGTGTTTCTTGGGCCTTCATTCACCTTTCCTTTCAAGGAGAAAACTCTGAGGCTTTTGGTTTTAGGATCATAATCTAAATCACAATCATATGGTTTTTAAGTATGATTCAGTGGCCAAGAAGCAGGATTGTATTCATAAAGCAGAGGCTGGGGAATAGGAAATTACCAGATTCTGGGGGAGAGGTAGATTGGAAGTTATAATGTTATTCTATGGAAAACCTAGTGGGATGTGTAAGCAGGGCTATTCCTTCCTGTGATGTGTTGAGTTCTGTGTGGTGGGCAGAGCAATGGGGATGCAAGTGACTGGTGTGGCATGAAATCTGGGCTTCTAGTAGCTACGTTCCATGTGCATCTTGTACCTGTGCCTGAAAGCAGCAAGACTCATCAGTGTCATTCCTGCTGTATCTTCCCCTTATCACTGGTGCTTTACCCAAGCAAATTAAGTTTGGAACTCTTTGACACTGAACTTTTAACCCTCTGAAATATGACAGTGGTCATATAAAAATGGTTTTGCTTGCCTTACTAAGCTGCTGTCTTGCGTTTCACACCGGATTAATGACAAACATGATTTTATTTCCCTTTACTGATCTAGCAGAGCGAGAAAATAAGAAGATAAATTCTCTTCTAACTTTAATCCTCAATTCCAACAAGGCCTCTCAGAGTCATTATGAGCCCCCTGAACTTTAATTCCTGATGACAATGTGTCAAGCAGAAAGGATCAAGCTTGAATCTCACCCTGAGTCCAGACTAGACTTTAAGGGCTAAAATTAAGAAATATCTTTTAATATAAATAAAACAAAGGCATGATAAAGAGGAGGTAGGCAACTGAAAAAAAATAATTTTACAAATTTATTTTGGATAACATTTTTTTGGTCATCTTTCTTTAGAAGCCAGGAAGAGTCATTCTTTGGTCTTTCTGTAAGAATGAAAAAGACAAAACCCTCTTCTTAAATCCATTTAAGACTTTTCTTTTCCATGTGTGTTTGTTTATGGATTGCTGTCTCTAATAATATTATCTGTGCAAAGTGCGGATTTTTCTTAATGGACATAGTTAAAACTTCTTGTGCTGAGTGTTTAAAACCCACATGCAGAAGAAAGCACAAGCAATACTGTATTTTCAGAAAATATAACCTCCAGCTCTGCTTTTGCACTCAGTAATGAGTTTTGATTTAAAAGATGAAGAATGAATGCTCAGGGAAGTTTTGTTTTTGTTTTTGTCCTAGTGTACTTCATGACAAACTCAACTCCTTAATAAATAGATTTTGTATCACTTTAATACAATCACAATACTCAAAATATAAGAGTTTGAGAACTTTAGAAATTCTTGATGATTCAGAAAATCTTCACCTTTTTGTAGTATGCCTCCTGTCCTGTTGGTTATGCAGAGGCAATGGAAAACATTTGTAAAAACAGATGGCAGTGCTTGGCCTCCTGAATGCAAATATTAAGTTCAAGGTCCAGTTAATGGCAGGTGAGCCAAGAAACACTGGGAGGTTTAATTTAACATAGATTATACCCCAAAGAATACACTTGTACGAATCCAGGACTTCTTGGCTGTTGTCTGTCTCGGAGTACTGCAAGAACAGCCATATCCCAGTTTTCACTTCCAGCCAAAACGAAGAACTGCTGAGGTAGATGAAAATTAAGATGTAGCAGTTAACATGGTTTTCAGGATTTTTCAAAAGACATGTTCAACAGCTGGTTGAGTCCAACAATTTATTTTCCCCAGCAATTCATGGTTATCCACTGTGCCATTCAATTAATTCTCCTTTGATAAATATCATAAAATCCATTATGTGTGTAGGATGTGCTGAGAGACTGAATGTGAAACTATCTGGATTTTCTATTTAAAAAAAAAAAATCTGGCAAGCTGCATAAAAGTAAGCTGGAGTGAAATTAGGTACAAAAGTGGAAAGTATGATGTGTGAAGCTGTAGTGTTTGTAACTGCTGGTGGCATGGCTACCCGAAGCAAAACACAGTTGCAGGGAGATTGCCTTACATGTACCTTGTGAAGTAGGTACTGGGGCTCTTTGTGCCAATTTAGTTAATAAAAGAGCTCTTAGAATGACTTGGAGAACTCCTGCTTAAATAAGCAGATGTTACTTGCCTGGACTTGAAATATAGACAGACCAAATACCCTGGAAAAGGGTTTGCAATAATGACTTCAGTACTTTACATTGACTGCAGTCCAGATCCTGGTACTTGCCATTACATTATTCTGTAAATYTTTCTCTGAAATAAATGGAAGAACACAGCTTGCTGCGACACAGCCAGACTCTGACCCTTATAAYACGTGTCTTTGTTACAGAAAAGTCTTGTACTGTATCGCAACTACTTCTGTTTGTTTCCTCTGCCTGTAGGAATTAGACATCGAAGAGCAGATCTGCAGCACTGCTGAAAACATAAATAACTTCCTAAGAGAGCCTTACAGCTGCAAGTCAAAAGTTCAGAAAGTTCTTCCCAGTTGTATCTTGTTACACCCCCTTCTCTCCTCCACAGTGTAGGGATATTAAACATGCAGTCAAGAGCAAGGATTTGCTGAGAGAATTAAGATGCCTAATAGTCATAAAACTGCACATTTACTTTCTTCAGATAAATGTTTATGATTTCATGAGATTTGCCTGAGCTTGCAAGACCTACTCTATTTTTTTCTAGAGTTTCTTGAACCTACGTGCTATGCTTTTAGACCAATGTACTAGGGTCAAGTTAGTGTTAACTGTCTTGTTTAAGTATTTCCTTTTTATAGTTGTATTACTGCATCTACTGCTTAATTACATGCAGTGTAATTACATGTAGTGTAACTATGATTCTGGATGAGACCTGGATAAAATATTTGAAATATAACTCATGTTTATAGAAATGTCAATGACAAAACTTCACATCTCTTTACAGATCATTTTAACTATCTTTAGCCTATGCCAGTTGTTAATTTGGTTGATTTTATTAGACATTTCTATATTATTAAAATGTTTTGGTTTTTTTTCCTCCTAAATAGCGCACTAGATTTTTGCATCAGATGAAACTTTAGAACTGTTGTGGTCTGCAAGAAATTGACGCCCTGCTCAAGTCTGGTGAAAGCTGCTGTAGCAAAGTTAATGAAGCTTATGTCATTTATATTCTTCTAAAAATCTTTTTCAGAATTTTAGCTCTGACTAGATTTTCCAGTATAGAATTCCTTTATTAGCCTCAGCCTTTTCTTCTACACTTTATTGTAAAGTTAGCAAATGTATGTTCCAATGAATGGTGGTGGAGGGAGCGCTACCTGTTTTGGGACAGCCTCTTCTGTCCAAGCAGCTTTGAAGAAGGAAAGGGAGGAAGAATGGAGAGTAGGTATTTTTAGGCCACTCTTGTATTCTGGGTCTGTCATTAATTCTTTTTTCCAAAATATGTTGCAATAGATCAAAGATGCTCTGAATTGCAGCCTCAAGGCAGCTCTGAGTGCCTGATCATGCTTCTTTTTCCATATTTGAGAACAGCTTGGACTTGTAACAGAAATAACACTGCAGAAATTTTCATCCACRTAGCCTCCTCAAAGCACTGGGAATCCTTCAGGAACAAATATGGCCCATATGTCATCATTATTGCCTGCAAGCAGAGATGGATATGTAGGYATGGACAAAGCCTGTAAGGTTGGCCCTCTGTGTGGGAAGAGCACTACGCAGATGTTAACACACCTCCACTGGCAGCAGTGTTCAACTTCTGGAACATCTCATGAGTTACAAGTAACTGTGGCATAAGCCCAGTGAAGTTCATAAAAAATGTGGGAGGCAACATTAATATAATACTAGGACCAGCCTAGCAGATCATAATGCACTATTGAGGCTGCTTGGGAGGCTGGCTGTTGCTTAGAAGCAGCRCACTTCTGCTGCTCCTTTTTTTCTGGCAGTGCCTGAGATTTACTTTACCTAAATAATGTCTAGACTAAAGTCTTGCATGGCAGACTATCCATTCAGATATCTGCAGTTTTCTTCGAGAATGGCAAAGAATGATGGCTGTTAACAAAAAAGCTGTGGAAAGAAATTTTTTTTTTAAGTTATCCAAGTCATTCCTGTGTTTAAGCATTTGGGAACCACACAGGGAAACGAGGATAGGTATAGACAGTGGAAAAACAACTTTTAAGTACATCTATCTCCTTAATATAGGATATCTACAGATGAATGAAGCTTTGAGAAAGTTAGCTTAATAAAGGCTTTCTTTTTTTTAAAGAGCACTGTACTGGGCTCACCAAAAGAAATTTAATTACATATTAATACTTCTGCATACTTAGACTCTTTTACTTTAGCCTTATGTTGGAACAGTACAATATCTTAATAGCTATGGAATATCATGAAATAATCCTTAAAAGTTTAGATAATTATTGTTAAAATATCATTAAAATTTAGCTGCTTGCCTGTTTTATCTGTCTGGTCAAATTTGTCCTTATTTAACATGCACCTTCTCTATTTTTATTTTAAATTCTGGAGGAAAGAACAAAGCTGGCCTGCGGTCTCTTATTACATAGTTTCAGCTCATCAGATAATTCAGTCTGATACAATGTCTCAGTAAACTCAGCTGTATGCTGTAGGTATTCCTGTTATTAGATCATGTTTAAGTAAGGGATTCTGATTCCCACCTTTTCCTATACAACATCAGTGTGCTATTCCTAGCAAGTGCCTCTTTCCTGTGTAGAAAATGGCTTTGCTTTTGCTTAGGTTTTTAAATATACCATGTCACTAAGTTTCTAAGTGGTGTGATTTAYTAGCTGTTCTTGATAGTGTTTGTTGGCATCTTGTGAAGACCATATTCTAGTTTTCATCTCTAAAAAAGCAGTCAGGCCTATGAAAGCAGCATTATTCTTGTGAAAACAGCCCTTTTATTTCCTTTACGTGTTATCAGTCTTATTTTACTGGGAATATCTCAGTGTGGTGAAAGATCTTCCTAACCCTCACAACAAAACATTCTCCAGTCCAAACTTCGTGTGAATACTGTATGACTTCAGGTGGGTAGAGAACATTACATTCCTTAAGCACCATAACTGGATTTATCTTTCAGTTTTCAGAACCTTATGACTGCTCCATATCCTAAGCACTGTTCCATTTGTATTTGCCATCTAGTTAAACTGTAAAACTTCTATCCAGCCAGTTTGCTTTCAATTTTACCTTGGTATATACAACCTCACCTTGCTGAGAAGTCTTACCCAGATTCCTCATCCTGCAAACTCAAGGCTCTCTATTTGTTTTGTTAGCTTCCATGGCTTGTAAGTAATCCAACTTGTGCTTGGTCGTTATTTGGTAGGCTGGTGTGTGCCTCTGCACTGCCTGAGTTTTTCCTTTAATCAACATATGGGCTATAATATAGTGCTTGTTTTGAATCTGATGTCATGGGAAAAAAGTGTTGCTTGAGTCTGTATGGAAACTTGCCCAGATGCTTTCAGCTCTGCTTCTTCCTTGACTGTAGCATCATCTGCTTAAAACTTCTAGCTTCCTTTCTAATAGTTATTCCTGCTTACCCGCAGGCTCTTTCCAGTCCAAATATAGTGCTGCTTGATTGAACAAATCAAGAAGCAGTGCTGCTCTTGACATGCTTAACAATCCAGATCAAATCCCTTCTAAAATACCCCAGTCCAGTTCATCAGGGAATGTCTCAGGATGAGTAGGGCTTTCCCCCAGGAGATTTCAGGGTGACTTTGGCATCTGTAATGCCAGAAAAACTGTGCAGTCATCTGGAATGTTTTTCCAACCCCYTTTTTTTCCCCCTTCTCACCCCGTGTCCCTCCCCCTCTTCCCSCCCCCCCCGMSCCCCCTCATGTTGAATTGTGAGGAAGCAGTGGCCTGGGGCACCCTTGTGAAACTCTTGACCTGTAAAAATTTGGAAGATGTAGTGGATTCAGGGCTCTACCCAAACTGGCCCCTTGGACTGAAGATTTGAGAAAATATTTGGGAATGACTTTAAAAGCATAGCCAAAGTGACTTTATTTGTTTGGCCACTTAACTAAGGAATACTTGTCAAGGGAAAGCAAATAACACTGCACTGGTATTAGTAGTTTCTCAGTTCTTGCAATTCAGCTCTGTTTCCTAAATTTTAGGAACAGTGCCATACAGGCTCAATACCATCTTAAAATGCTGTAGTGTACTGTAAAGATGTATAAATAGTATCAACTATGTTTAATACCCAACCAATTTCTGACTACCTTATTCTTTGTTTTTAAATATTTTTATTACATTTCTGCTGGTTGTATGACTGCTGTAGGGAGACAATAGAAAGCTGTTCAGGAGAAAACTGTCTTGAGTTTTAGCCTTGTGCATGTAGCTTGGAACAGGAGGCTCAGCATGCTTCAGAGCTTGCATCTTGCTGTCGAAATTCTTGGGAAAATCGAGAGCAAAAATTAGCAAGTTTTCTGTTCTGTAAATTCCAACTGGGATTTTCTTCTGTATCTTGTAATCCAACTGAATAAAAATGGATTTTCCTGGGGACAAAAAAAGCTTCATCTAACTTGAGGGTTGTCTCACTGCCAACTATCAAGCTTTTGCTATAAATCATCATGGCTTTTCAAAAAAAAGACAAAAAATATGAATGTTGGCAGAAGCATCTTTCACTAGCTTTGTTCAAAAAATGGCTGAAGTACTTTCTGTTGAGTTGAAAATAATAATAAAAAAACCCACAAGACACATTTTAAGATGAAGAAACTGTTACCTGAATAGTCTGTCAAATTTGAAACAAAGGTTTATGATGGAAATGGTGGTTAGGCAGTCTGAATTGTTTTGAAAACCACATAAGATTCAAAGGAATGGTCAAAATATGTCCATTCTGTTTCTTTCTAATAAAACATACATTGGCCACTAGGCAATGTTCTCTAACAGAACTTGTCTGAAGGCTGTGGATCTTTTCTGTGRAACTCTAAGTGGGTGCCACAGTAGAACTGAGTATAGCATATGTGMCACTTAGTGACTACCTAGGTGGTCCCTTTTAGCTAGTGCTGAAAAGGTGAATAATGCTTATAGTTTATGTTTTTGTTAGTAAAATAATATAAAWGAAATTCCAGAAAATGTTATAAACAATATAAGTCTTAAAATAAGTTTACTTGTTTTTCTGGGGCATTCCACAGTATGTAGCCGCCTCCTTTTGTAGTAGTTAAAAAGAGCTTAAAAATGACAATGTTAAACTTCAGAATTTCATTTTAGTTCTTTTACCAAGCTAAAAAACATCCATTTATAAAACACAGCTGTGTCTTGTAATTGCTGCAAAAAACTTTCTGGCACTGTATGTTGTATTACATGTTTTCTTAATTTCATGTGACATTGACTTTGTTCATACTCTGGTACTTTAAAAAAAATACATTTAACTTACTTTTATTTATTGAATGAAGGCTTCCTAAATATACCATGACTGCTCTCTGCTCTTTGTCTGAAACAGAAGTATTATGTAATGTGGGTGATCAAGAAATTACATGTAGGGAAATCCTTGTTTGCTTTTAGCAGGCAATGGAAGAACTGCTGAAGACTGCAAAATGTGAATAGTGAGAAAGGGCTAAGGTATGTCGAGGTCCCTTGAACAACACTCCTCAAGTGGGGTGAAGGTATGTGAAATTTATCTATTTTTTCTCCCTGCCCCAGAACTAAGAGCATGTCTACCTAGGGTAGAAGTCATCATGTGTATTCTATTATATAAAGCACTTTGGATTTGAACTCAACAGGAATTCTCATACTCATATTTAAGGATCATGTCCTAGGATTTCTTCTTAGTTACTAGCTATGACCAGTGTTTTTAAAACAGCAAAGGAGATATCCTGGATATTTTTGCTATTTATAATTCTCATTGTTACAACTCTGTAGGGCTGATTAGATCAGATGATTTCAATGGTGTGATAGCTACTGATATAAATATATTTCCAGAAGACTTCCTTATGACTTCAGAGCAGATTAGCCAGTAAAAAAAAACATTTTGGAAGGAGTTTAGTTCCTTAACTATTTTTGAAAATCCCAAGAGGCACTCCTCTGCATACAGAGGAGCTAAAAATCTTTAAAAGCCAGCCCTTTCACTGACTATGCTTTTCATAAAAATATGATTTAGACATTTGAAAAAAGTCAGATTTCTAAGTCTTTGTTTCCAAACTCTCTCAAGGATGTCTGAATATCGTGCTTCCTGAGAACTTAAGAGAAAATGGAAGAAATGCTCACTTAGGCAAAAGCCAAAATAAACTCTGTATTTGTCAGTGATAAGAAACGAATATAGTTTATTAAATAGAGAAATCTGGCTGTGGGTCAGATAATSATCCAAAACTGCCTGCTTATTTGAAGCTTACCTAAAGGTCTGCTGTTGGAAAAAATCATACAAGAACAGTCTTTCCTGTGAGATTTCCAATACTTCCTGGTTTGAGTCAAGAAAGGAATAGTGCAAGAAGAGCCACTYGCTCTATTTAGATTTTTATGCTTCTGGTTCTGAAATATGAAGGGAAGTAGAGGGATAGAATTGTGTGTGTCTGTATGTGTGAAAAGRAAATACCCATTTATAGCTCCCATGTGGGTTTATTGCATTCCAAGTTTGGGCTGCAACTTTAAATCATGATTTTGTGTAATAATGATTTTCTGTAGGAGAACCGAAGGTTCAGACAGTTCAGGGTCCCAAAAAAGGTAAATAACTAAAATGAGAACCTGTTTGTCATTCCTTTCATTTCTGAATCCAAGTTCATGTATCCAAACACTTAAGCTCGGCAAGTTTTTGCGTGTATCCAAGTACATTGAATAACCTCTTTGGGTTTCTTGTGGAAGTTGGAATTTTTAGTCTTTATTCTAAATTGACTAAACCACCGTGAGAAACTGCCCCTATAATTCAATGATTTCCAATTAAAGAGACTTCCTGTAGTTACAACAGGAAATACTAAAAGGAGGTCTTCGACATCTCACATTTGTGTTTTTTAAACTATGTAGCTTTTTATGTGGATAGCTGCTCCTAGCCTRTAACGAGGGTATAGACGTGATGAGATCGTACAGAGATTTGCTACCTTTACTGAAAAGGTGAGTGCTGTCATGGTAGCAAATCATGCAAGGTGAATTTTGAGGAAAATGAAACTCTTTACCTTCGCAGAATGAATTTAGCTAAATATTACTGCAATGGCAAATATCTGCTATTCTGCAGAAGACTGTTTGCTGTCTTGCTTGCATTCCACAAGCCTGTGACCTGTCCCTCACTGCTTTTCTTTGTGAGGGACAGCTCACGTAAGTATTTCATAGCCATCTAAAATTGGAAACCTCCAGAGAATGAGCTGGGGAAGGGTTTTGTTGCTTCCTCTGGTATCTGTTTAAATATCAGCAAGGCTGGGTGAGCTGAGATGCTTCCAAAACTGACAATGAGGCTTTCTGCTGGGGAAAGCTGTGCTTCTAAAGAAGTTGCATCTGTCGGAGTGTGGTGTTGCTTCATTTTTCTGTGCTGCTGCTGCTCCCTGGTGCAAGGGATGGGTCATGTTAGAAGCCAACCATTCATTAGCTGTGTTAGGGTGACTTTGCTCACACTAATCCTGGATAGTGCTACAATTGGAGAGAAACGCTTCGATCTCATCCATGTCCTTAATCCTTCTTCCTCAGTTTCATAATTAGACCTTTTTCTCTTCTCTAGATTCTTCAACAAACAAAAAATTCTCACTTTCAAAGACCAAATCTGAAGTTAACCAGCTTCTCCTGTGCYGCTTGATCTGGATTTGCCTCTTTCAAATATACACACTTTTTCAGGCGCTACAATTCTGCATGTTAGGTTAACTCCCTGCAGCAGCAAGTCAATGTATTTGTTAAAATTAATTTTAATGTTCACCACTAAGAGCTAATTGGAGAAAAAGGAACAGGAATATTCTTTCACTTGCATGCAAAGAATGAAGCTATTGAAACTTATATTTTTAATTGAGTGAGAGCAGCAAAGTAGAAGTCAAAAAAAAAAAAAAACTCCKGTCCTGGCTTCTGACATGAAACACATTCAAATTTGATAGAACAAGTTGATTATATCCAGTCTAAGCATAAGAAAGTATTTTTTCTTCTCTGCTTTTAACTAGAGATACTTTTCCAGTTAAATAATTTGTTTACTATTTTGTTTTTTATGCTCAGTCTCTAGAGGGGGGGAAAAAATGCTTTGAAAAGATGTTTGAATTGCAAATGGACACCTTTTGCTAATGCATTTATACTGTGTCCAGGCTTGAATTGCAGATGGCCAATGTGTGTTTGAAAGCTTATCAAGTTACCATTGCATTTCAGTAGCAGATGGTTAAGCAGCAAAAGGCAGGTCTCACTTTCCTGGCCTTTTCTACTGTTGAGCACAAATGAAGAGCGGAAGGTCATCCCACAGATCAAGCCTGCACATGGCAGATATTTGCATAGCAGTATCTGCATGCAGCCATGTGCTCACTGTGGCATTTGGGGTGAAGTCACAAGCCATTTATTCAAAAACTAATAAATTTCCACAGCCAAACTGGTGCAGCTTAGAATGAAAGAGATTTCTGAAAGATAACTTTTCTTCAACTGTTTATTGTATGTATATTTTAAACCATCTGCTCATTTATTAATCTTTGCTCCACCACTTCAAATGGTGAAGGTGAACTACAGTTTTTGCCATAGTCCTTGCAATATACGTGCCCTGTGATRTTTCCTTTCCTTGCTTCCAGAAGCCATGCTGTTATAATTTAAGTATAGTAATTGGGGTCTAAGTCCCTCATAATGTCTTCTGTATGAGCTCTTTGTGCTGTGATGCATGGGCTTGATCTCCAGGCTTTCAATGGGAGACCCTGCTGAAAGTCTTAATAAGATGGCATCAAACACTGGAACAGCTTCTCAGCTTTRATATGTATATTGGCTCTTGAAAAGCAAGCCTGCGCAATGAAAGTCTTGAGGGTTTTGCAGTGCTATGGCTAGCCCATTTCTAAGTGCTGTTTCAATATCTTAATGATCAATTTAAATTCCCAAATAAAAGCATAGAATGTCAGGATTAATYATTATGTCTCTTAGGATACTGTAGTAAAACTAATATTCACTTTTACAGATGTCTATTTAAACTTTAGCACACCAATAAGTTGATGTTTGGGAGAAAACAGCATCTCACCAGTCCCTTCATAACTAAGGTCTCAGTTCCCAGTGTCAGGCTGTGTGTTTGTGATATGATAGTGCTGTTTCGATGTAATACACARCTTCCTATTCATTGGAGCAGTGAAAATGATAATATTGTGGTGTTACAATGTTGTTATTTTAACAGAAGAGTTTCCTTTTTTTTTTTTTTGTAAAAGGGAAAGCGTGAGGAAAGTTTTATGAAACTCGCATTGGCTTAATCTACAGAGCATATGAAAGTGGTTCACTTTCCAGTAACTTTCTATTGGACATTAGTGGAATCATTTAAACACTTTTTTTCTTGTTTTTGGCTTTGAACAGTTCTAAAGAATTTCTATATACAATGTGATCTGAAATACAAAGTGCCTGCTCAGAATGAAGCAARAAGATAGCAAGTATCCATTTCAGTAGTCTTATGTACTTATTGATACAAATGGCACCACTTCAAGGGATAACAGCTTCATGCTTAGTGTTGTTCCTGTCAGCAGGAAAGCTTTTTGAGCTGGCTGGAGACAGGATCTGAAAATTTTTTCATTTCTGACATCTCTCAAGTTCTCTCTGTCCTTTTGAGCTCACTTTAGTGAACATTATTTGGTTCTGCCAAAATAAATGATAGCTGTTTGTGCTGAGGGAGCTCTTTAGAAAGAGAGGAAAAGCTGCTATCTATGCCAGAGCCCTGGGCTTGCACAGTCGTATGTGAGCACCCAAAAAAGTGAACTACCTTTCAGGTAGTGAACTACCTTTCAGGTGAACTACCTCTGCTTTTGCAGTAACTGGTGCATCCTTGCAATCCAATTTATGAGCACATAATTTTCAGTATTGGGAGTGTCTATCTGCATACAAAAGCAAAGCCTGGCCTTGTGAAGCAGCTTTTTCTAAAAGCATAGCTGGAGCTAGAAACTTGACCTCTAAAGATGTTACTTGATTTATTAAAACACTCATGTTTTTGCAGTGTTTTCATCTTAAGCTTAGTCTGGACTGTGAAAATCAAGCTATGCTCTGTCTGCCTGTTACCTGCTCTACACAGTGGGTGTATCTTGCAGTCCATGCTAGTGACAGCAAATGCTGTGTAATGCAGCCCAGGCCCCGGCTTGTCAGGTACGTGGTTACAGCAAGGGACAGGGTCAGTAAAGTGACAGACCCAAATGAGTGTCCCAAGTGGGGAAAGGACTCGCTGGGGTGTATTTGTGCTTTTACCAGTACAGGGAAATTCTGTTCTCTGCTTTGCTCATCTCTCTCTTAGTCCAGCAAGAGTAGTGAGTCCTGCACAGCTCACGCAGTTGTTAGGATTACTGAAGAGACCTCAGCAGTGCTCTCAAATGGTTTCTTTTTCCCTTTCCATTGGCCAATACCTCTTTCGAGAGTGAGGGAAAAAGTGCCCAGTTGAATTCACTATGGGAATTCACTATGTGAATTCAGCATGGCTCTGAAGCATCAGGAAGAGCTCTACAGATCAGGCTGTCTACAAATTTAGAGAGCAACAAGACTTTAAAAAAAAAAAAAAGTTTCTCTCTACCCAGCTCAAACMTCAACTCTTTGAGCAAGATCCACAAGAATTCACCTTGTCCTTGAGGTCAAGGCCCTGTATCAGATTTGTCGTGAAGGTAATGTAGCGGCAGCTTGCCCAAATGAATGGGCTTGAAGTCTATTTTGTCCCTGACAGAGACTGAATATTATACCTTATGCCAGGATGAGTTAGCAATCAGCAAATGATTGATGCTTTCTTTAACATTGTTCTCTACTTTTTGATGAAATACACTGAATGTTTTGRCTTAAAAATTTATCTTCAGAATCTCTACTGGACTATGCGGGCTTGAATGACTGAAAGGCTAAGAAAAATAACAACAAAAATAAAAAGTTCAAAATCCCAAAACAAGAAGTTGTTAGTCTTTGTTACTTGGTAGATTCTTAAAACATAACAACAACTATTTAAATATTTCCAAATAACATTCACCACATTAATATCCCATTTTGGTAGCTTACAAAACTGAAATATCCCRAAACTTCTGAATTTGCTGGATACACTGTTTTCAGCATTACTTAATGATGAAAATGATGAAAACAAGTAGGTTCATCTCAGGATTTTGATACTGGCTACCTAAACATAACCTTGAAAAATATTTTTGACAAAGCCAAATTATTTCAATAGGTAAAACTTAGGTGAAGAAAGTCTGTTGCGGGAAATATGAAAAAGTAGTTTCAGCAAAAATACAAATATATATTTTTGATGCTGATTGAAATACACATACCTGTTTCCTGAATAGAATGTTTTCRGCTAGTTGGAAGAAAACACTCAGGTGTCACATCTTGGTGTCACCTACTTAATATATTTAATAGCCAGCCATTTTTTAAATCTGAAATCACTTTCTGTTTCATTGTCAACAATTCTATTAACCCTTGTGAAATAGAGCTTGAAATACTTATTAATCTCATACTACTTTTCCTGATAAATAGGTGCACATAGAATTTGTTTTAATCTTGTATTAATTAGCCAACTTTTTAAAATAATAAATCTCCCCTTTCTGTGACTGAAAGCTTTTTTATTAATGGAGTCATGAGTAGGCTACTTGTCTACTTGGTAGATAAATTGCAAAAAGTTTTTGCAATGTATTGGAAACTATATATGTAATATAGTAGACCATTAATCTTAAGAATTAGTCGACTGAAAAAAATTCAGTCTTTCATGAGTTATAGTCAGGAGGAAAAAGAAATATAACTGTAAGGCAAGAAAGAGAGGGGAGGGAAAAAGCTTTATCCAAGAAATGGTGTTGTAGCACATGGCCTTGCAGGAGGTAGCTTCCACTAAATGTGTGTTCCAGAAATCCTCAACCAACAGTAGCACAATAACACTGAAATTCT